CAGCTTCGGTCCAACAGCACATGCTACCTTTGTCTGCGGCGCGCTCCGCAGGTCTTTCCCGCGTGCGGCCACGGTCACTGTCGAAACTGTGTCGAGGTATTTGGCGTCGCAAGCGCGGCCGACCCGTGGCTCATCGAAGTGGCCGAGTGCATCCTCTGCGGACAAAACGTTGACATGCAGGTACGTGTGAAGCCGGACACCGCGTCGGTGCGGGTCTTGTGTATCGACGGCGGCGGGACGCGGGGCAAGTACCCCCTCAAGGTATTGAAGCAGCTCGAAGACGACATCGGGCTGCCCGGCCATCCGGTACAGCAGAACTTTGACGTCGTCTTCGGGACGAGCTCAGGTATGTCGCGGGATGCCGTCGTTGTTGCAGTGAAGATGTGGGTGACCCCCCTGGCTTACCGATCGCGACAGGTGCCATCAGCGCCGGCGCCCTCTGCATCAACGGGTGGACGGTGGATGAGTGCATCGCCCGCTTCGAGTCCCTTTCGAACGACGCGTTCACGCCTCGCCGGGTTCCGTCTGTTCCCATCATAGGCCCTCTCATACGACTGATGATGCGGATCCCCTTTTTTGCCACAGTTGTGCGTACCGCAGCCTTGCTTCTCTTCGACAGCAGGTACCCGTCGAAGCACATCGAGAAGGCTTTGCGAGACATGTTCGGCTCCGGCAGAAGCATTGCCGACTACTCGGCGGCCAACACGATGGGTGCCATGGTTGGCATGACGGTTGCTACCGTGCAAGACGCAAGCGCCTGCATCTTCACCAGCTACAACGGAGTGGGCCAGCGGGCCGGCGATCGCGGTAGCCTCCCCGTCTCCCTGTCTTCGTCCCCGTCTCCGTCGAGGCCATTCGAAGCCCGCAAGCTGATGCTAACGGACTGTATAGATTATGAACTCTTGAGGACGACCGCCGATGGGGACCGCCTGGCTTTGTGGGAGATGTTTGTGGTTTCCAGCGTGGTTCTATGCGAGGCCTGTGGCTTCCGGTGACTAGATGGCTAATCCGGTTTGCAGTGTCCGATGTGCAACCGCTGCTCCGTAGTCCGTGCCAGTCCTTTTTGTTTTCTTTTTGTTG